CATCGTTCAGTTACTGAGACGAGTATTGAAAATATCTTGACTGTGCTTTTGTCTATTTATCCTTCCAACTTTTTTCAGTTTTTACTTTATGGATTTTATAGTTGTATAGTTAGGACTATGGGTTCCTTTTAATAAATTGTGGATTCCTTTTAATAAATATATCCTTTAAAGATGACAAAATAATCTTCGTTATCTCTCTTATTGTTCCTCATTCTGAAATCTGTTTTGTCTGGCATTAATGGATCCTCTCCTGTATTCTTTCAATTAGTGCTAGCACAGTGTATTTTTTTCCATCCTTTTATTTTAAACTCTTTTACATTATTTTGTATCTAAAGCATGTTTCTGGTAGTCAGCGTGTTTGGACCTGCTCTATCCTCCTCCCCAACTAACAATCTCGGCCTGTTCATTAGGGTGTTTAGCACATTTACATTTATTGTGATATTGATATGGTGAGGTTTAAATCTGTCATTTTGGTACTTACTTTTTACTTGTTCTGTATTGTCTTTGATCCTCTTTTTCTCTTTTTCTTTCTTTGCATTATGTCTTATTCCTTTTTAATTCCTTCTTGATTTTTAGCTCTAACCTTTTGTTAATGTAGTGGTTTATACTTATGCTTATCACAGTCTGCCCTCAAGTCCTAGTAGACTACTCACAGTTCCTTCTCTCCTGGCCTTTGTGATATTGTTGTTGTGGTACTTTCAACATTTGCATATGGCAAAAATCCCATGCTACACTATTATTTTTGTTTCAACAATTAGCTTTTTTGTTAATTTAACCTTTTTATTCTAATGCCAGTATAGTTAATATATTGTGTTATATTGACAGTCAGTTAGCTTTTATTTTTTTTTATTTTTTATTTTTATTTATGATAGTCACAGAGAGAGAGAGAGAGAGAGGCAGAGACACAGGCAGAGGGAGAAGCAGGCTCCATGCGCCAGGAGCCCGACATGGGATTCGATCCCGGGCCTCCAGGATCGTGCCCTGGGCCAAAGGCAGGCGCCAAACCGCTGCGCCACCCAGGGATCCCCTCAGTTAGCTTTTAAAGAGATTTGCCACTTCGGTGCTCCTCATTGCTTGAAGTAGATCCTTGTTTTCATCCGCTATTGTGACCTTCTGCCTGAAGGACTTCCTTTTACATTTCCTTTTGGTGCAAGTCTTCTGTTGATGAAATCTTTCAGCTTTGAGATGTCTGGAAAAGCCTTTAGTTTGCACTCCTTTTTAAAATATATATTTCTGGGCAAATACATTTTTGCTGAAATGGTGGGATTTTCTTTTCTTCTCCTTTTAGCACTTGGAAGATATTGTTCCCTGTCATGCTGTGTGCACAGTTCGCAGTAAGAAATCTGCTATCTCATCTTGGCTCCTCCGTATGTGGTACTTTTCCTCTGGCCGTGCTCGACATTTTCTCTTCATACTGGCATGGAGCAGCTTGTCATGACGTGCTTTGGTGTGGTTTTTCTGCACGTTCCTCCTGCTTGGGCTTCATTGAGATTCTTATATCTGTGCGTTTGTTGATCTCATAAAATTTGGCGAATTTTTATTCATGTTTTCTGTATCCCCTTCTCTCTCTCCTCCTTCAGAACCTGGTTACTTGGGTGTCAGGCTGATAGGTTTGCCTGACAGATCACAGATTTGCTGGGTTTTCTTTGTTTCCAGTGTCTTTCCCGTGTGTTTCATTTTGATTAGTTCCTTTTATTGTGTGTTTAACTTCACTGATCTTTTTTATATTCTAGATCTTTCTATGCAGTGGTTGATACCATCAGCTGTTTACCTAAACTCTTCACATCTCTGAGTGAGCCTCAGGCATGTTCTCTGCCTTTGAGGCAGTTCTGGCCCAGTCTTGAGCAGTGTGTGCCCTGATCAGCCCTCCACTGATGGTGGGGGCCCCTCTGCAGCTCTCTTGCCTGTGTGCACCATCCTGTGGACTCTGGCCATCTTAGTTTCCTGAGCTCTTGCTTCAGGGGGTCTGCAGACCTGCCTGGGCTCCTCCTTTCCACAGTGCTGCCTGGACAACCCCAGGACAGCTGCTGGGCCCTCATGGGGCTCACCTCATATGTCTCCCGTCTCTCAGAAACCACTGCCCTTCCTTGCTTGATGTCCAGGTTCTCGAAGGCTAGTGTTTGATGTATTTTGTCTGGTTCACTACTATTTTAGTAAGGAGGGTAAATACAGCAGCTGTTACTCCATCTCACCCAGAAACAAAAGCCTGAACTTATTTTTAACTCACAGTAAAGCAGAATGCCCATTCTTGAACACTGGTCCCTTCTGTGTCATCCTCCAAAACAAATGCTCTTGCAGTCTAGACCTGATTGTGCACCTGGCATCCAAGCCAACATCTCCAAGTCTTGGCCTGGGTTCCCTAGACAGTGCAGCCTGGGGAGAGAATTTAAGGTGCTTTCCTTGGCAAGGGTGAACTCAGAGCAGCAGAACAGATGAAAGGGAAAGTATGACAGGAAAGGTGGCTTTGGCTGCAGGAGAAACTGCCCCGCAGGGCTGCTCCTCCCCTAGGAGCCCTGATTTGGGGGTGGAGGTGCTGAGGGCTGTGTGACACAGCAGAACCCTGGTGTCCGCGGCCCATCTGTCGCTCCACCTGCTGTGGCGGGCCGAGGAACTCATATATGGAAATCCACAGCCATGAGATGGAGGGTGTGTGACCAGGGTGTCGGGCTGAGCGCGCTGAGCCTTACCGCTGTCCCGTCCTGGGAAGAGTGGCCACACGCATCTCACTGTCTCAGCAAGATCAGCATGTAATGAAGATTTAAACCCTTTTAAAAATACATGATGGCTCTGTCTTCCTGATTCTTTTTTGTTGGGAAATGGAGTCATAGGCAGGCCACGGGTCTCATTCCCGATGGCCCACGGGCAGAGGTTCCCTTTGCCTGGTCAGCTCGGGCCTCCCTTGAGGGGCTTAACTAGATCTTCCTGTTGCTCTTTGCTTATTGACGGGACAGTTTTATCAAAATTTAACCAAAAGCTGTGAGTCTGTCCCACCGTGACGTGCATACCAGGGGCTGTGCCAGCGTCCTGTGCAGCCGCGCAGTTCGTGAGAGCGTTCCTCGACCTCGGGCAGTCCCAGCCAGTGGGATTTCTTTTTAGGAAGGCAGTTTTGTGGGATTGGTTTGTACTTTTGGTTTGATTTTCCTGTGTTTTAAGTGGTTTCTTGAACTATGTGGTGAGTTTGCTAATTGGTTCATTATTCCTGCTTATCACCAGACATCCAGCGGGGTGTGTTTATGGGTCGCTGTAAAATTTGTACACAATTAAGTAGAAGACTTTTTTAGCCAGCCTGACCTGGTTTGCTGGTATCCTCACTGCTCGTGTGCAAACGGCACGTACGTGCCCAGCCATTGCACGCCTGGTGTGTATCCATCAGAGATACGTGCCTGGGAACATGTGGTCAGGAATGTTCACGCACACACTCTTCAAGACAGCCAAGTACTGGAAGCCGCAACAAGGTGAGTGAGCCTAGGTGGCTTGCCCCGGGGGTCCTGTGCGGCGGGAAGGCTTGCAGGCTGCAGCGCACCTGGGGTGAACGGTGCCACGCACAAGGGAGTCTGTTTGTGTAACACCAGTCAGCGTGCTGGGGCCGGCGCCGTCCCACCCGGGCGGGGCGCCCGTGGAGCCAGGGAGGCTCTGATACCCGTGGGCGCTGGTTGGTGACGGATGCCAGGATGCTGGGCGCTGCTCACTTCGTGAGAACTCCTGCGGCTCTGCCCTCATGATTTGTTACACGTCAGTGGAAATGTTTACGTCAAGTAGAATAATTCGCTGCCCACGTGTTGGAATGAGAGAGTCATCGGCAGGTTAGCAGAAAAGGCGGGGTCCTGAATTCCTGCTCCGAATGAGGCCTCTCGCCGGGGGTGTCAGGAGCCGAGGGCAGCCCCCGGGGTTCCCACGGCCAGCGGGCGGGGGCAGGTACCACGGGAGGAGCTGTGGGGAGCCCCGAGGGCCCAGGGAGCACCCGTGAGTGGCTGGCCTTGCAGGTGAGGAGCAGGGACGCCTGCGGGCATCAGGTGGACGTGGTGGGAAGGCCCGGGAATGACGAGTGTGGCGCTCCCACCGTCCTGAGTGGGCACAGCCGGCGCCCAGCGTCCACTCACAAGGGCACGGACTCAACAGGAGACACCTCTGGTCCCTTTAAAGAAATACTGCAGACACGGGTGACGTGTAAATACGAATTTTCATCCTGCTTTGAGACGAGTGGCTGCTTTGCCGTAAGACCCGGGGTCTCTTCCGCGACGCGGCTTCACCGGCCTTCTGGCCAGCCTGCCGGTCCGGGCTTTCCCATTCCATTCGGTGGGGGTGATGGTCGCCCAGGGCCCGGTGGGGTAGAGCGAGGGCCCGGTGGGGGGGCCCTCGGAGCTTGGTCAGCGCCCCGGCCGCCAGGACACGCAGGCCGCCCGGGCCGGGGCTGGGCTCCTCCTCGGGGCACCATGCACCGGCCGACTCCGTCGTGGGGTGTCTGAGTCCAGGTGGGCTGTGTCCCCACCGAGGCTGGGTGGTCACGCCCAGGGCACCCATGGGGGGACGTGAGCGCTCAGCTCCCAGTTATCTGAGTGTCTTCTAAAAACCTCTCGGCCCACCCAGTGAGACTTGGTTAGCCAAGACCATCCGGATGCTCTGAGGAAAGGTGTCAGGCTCCTTGTATGGCGAGTGGAGGGTGTGCGGGGCGGGGAGGCCTGGCCACGCCTGGCCTGGGCTGCGGGGCGGTCGGGAGGGGGCACAACCTCGAGGGGCCTGAATTAACGCCCCCTGCGGCTCACGCCCACACCCCTAGCAATGTCGACTGGAGTGAGCTCAGCAGTGCCCCATGGCTCCAGGTTTCGGGGGGGCCCTGCCCGCCCCCCGGGCCTGGTCGAGCCTGTTACGGGCAGCCCCAGGCAGCCCTGGGCTGGGGGCCACACCTGGGCCGCGCACCCACGAGGCGCGTCCTCTGCTGCACCGAGCCCCGTGCTGGGTGCCGGCCGCCGCGTCACCTGGCCCGTGTCCCTCTGTTCCAGGCATCAGCAACGCGGAAGCGCGGCAGCCCGGGAAGGCACCCAACTTCAGCGTGAACTGGACGGTGGGCGACGCGGCCATTGAGGTCATCAATGCCACGACAGGGAAGGACGAGCTGGGCCGTGCGTCCCGCCTGTGTAAGCACGCCTTGTACTGTCGCTGGATGCGTGTGCACGGCAAGGTACCGGCCCCACCTCCCCGCAGCCCGTCCCATGAAAGCCCCGCGCCGTCCACACGGCGGCTCCCAAACCTTTTTGTTTTCACCTTGAAGCGAGGCCCTGGCCCTCCACCCCGAGCAGCCTCGGGGAGCACCCCCGCCCTGCCCGGCCTCCAGTCCCTCTACGTGGGATTCCGCCCAGAGGAGGGCAGAGCCAGGGCTCGCGCAGCCCGCAGAAGGCTCTAGACCTTTGTTCGTGGCGGCGGCAGAGTCCGTTTCCCCACGGGAGCTCTGCTCCGTTGGCATTTTGCTAGATTTCCTTTATCGGGTGTGGCAGGTGCTTGTTACGACGCTGGCGGCGCCCTCGGCGGAAGCTGCCCAATTCGGGGCCCCGGTCCCGGGGCAGCAGGAGCACCCGAGCTGCCGGTCTTGCACCCTGTTTAGTCCCAAGAGCCGCACGGACCGAGTCAGGCAGCCGCGGGAGGCAGCGCCTCCGGGCCCCTCGCCGGGGTAACGTGTCCGCGACCCCAGGGGTGCTGTGCTTTTCAATAGCTGAGAATATTAACGTTGACATTGGAGCCGACGGCTCGTGGGTTCGGGAGCACCTCCGCAGCGCCTGGGGTCTGCGTGGGGAGAGCGCTGGGGCTCCCCCGGTGACGCGGCCCCTCCCGGGACGGCACCCGGACGCCGGCACAGGACAAAACGCCAGATTTTGAATGTCTCACTGAGCTTTACTTCCTGCTGTTACTGCTTCAACACCTGTACTTGTGTTTTGACTTTTTACAGGTTCCCTCCAACCTACTGCGCTCCAAGATCACTAAACCCAACATGTACCACGAATCCAAACTGGTGGCCAAGGAGTACCAGGCCGCCAAGGCGTGTCTGTTCAAAGCGTTCATCAAGGCAGGGCTGGGCGCCTGGGTGGAGAAGCCCACCGAGCAGGATCAGTTCTCTCTCACCCCCTGACCGGGGGCGTGGGGCGGAGGCTGCCCGGTCCAGCGCGGTCTCCGCAGCCCCACGTCTGAACCGGGGCAGGCGTGGGGACGTGGGGTTCTGGGCGTCCAGAGCGGTGTCTGCAGCCTCACCTCTGACCTGGGGGCAGGGCGTGCACTTTGGGGGGGTCCGGGGGGGGGTTGGGGTCCAGCGTCCCCACCTGCATCCCTCCGCAGCAGCATCACCCCTTCGAATTAATCCAGTGACTGCTTCCAATCCCCGTTTCCGTTTAGAAGTCGAGTTCTACTGAGTAGGGCTTCCTTAAGTTTAGGAAAAATAGAAATTACTTTGTGTGAAATTTTTGGATAAATAATTTATTCAGAGTTAGGAACGTGGTTTATAAAGTAAGTAAATGTATCAAGTCACTCCTAGGCCACATTATTTTAATTGCAGAAGAGCATTTATCTGTGGAGAAGGTGAGAAAGTAGAGGCAGGAAGTAGAAGCCTGAGGAGACCGTGGCAGCCGCGCGGCCGGCAGGTCCCCCACCGGGCCACCACCCGCGGCTTCCGCCCACCCGGGGGACCCCGCACCCGGGGCCGGCCCTGCGCTCGCCCGAGGCCCCCCTGGTGGTGGCCAGCGTCCGTGGGGGCCCGGCCCGGGGCCCTGGCACCCCTCCCTCCGCCCCCAGAAGCGTCTGTGGTCCTCCCAGGTTCGCATCATGGAAAACGTGCGTTGGGTCACTTGTAAATAATCAGAGGCAGCACGCGGGCAGCGGTCCCGCGCCCAGGCAGGTGTCCAAGCAGTATTTCATGTCGAGGGTCTCGGAGGATCCGCAGGGGCCGCTGCACAAACCACAGCCCCAAACCCCCCTCTTCCTGTCTCCGAATCTAACGGGCGTGGAGGGCCGTCCAGACCTTCACAGGATGGAAATAGAATCGATCAAGTAGATAGACTCGTTCTTAGGAAATGCCACTGACGGCGTATTTTTAAATTATTCTTTCCAGCTTTTATCAAAGACGATGTGTGAAAGTCAGTATTGAGGCTGGGAGCTGGTGAGGCCGCGCGCCGCGGGCGTCGTCCCACCAGGGCCTGGACGCTGGTAGTCACGGCAGGGAAGGGGTGCTGCTGGCCGCCGGGGTGCCCGGGCCGAGCCAGCAGCCGGCCAGGAGTGTGGGCCCGGGGCCGGGGCCGCCTCGGCCTGAGCCCAGCGATCTGCACCAGTTGCCTTGTTGCTTCCACTCAGGATCAGACAGGAGCCCGACCGGGCTTCCTGCCCCGTTTGCATGAAGTGGGGGGTCTGGTGGGTGCTGTAGGCAGAGACGGGGTCCCCGCCCCAGCTCGACGGACTCAGAGCACGCGCAGCAGGAGCGCAGCGGCTGGTGTCCCCTCGCCCACACCCCACGCGCTCAGAGCAGGAGACTCGGAGCCGCCAGGTCCCCGGCGGTGGCACCCGGGGCGCGTGGAGCCGCGGGGCTGGCGCCGCAGGGTCGCCCACACCAGCCGCCTGCCTGCAGCAGCGCTCGCCCGGCCCGTGGGGCGGTGGGGGGTGTGGCCGAGCAGGAGGGGTGTCAGCTGGTGTGGCCGCCGTCCCCACGGAGACGCTCCCGCGCGCGGAACATCCGTGAGCCGCTGCGTTTTTACTCTCTCTATAAATGGTATTTTTTCTAATGGGGATTGGGAGATGGACTTAGTTTTTAAAAAAAAAAACACGTGGATTTTGATGAAAAGTTGAGTGGAAACATGTTGCACAAACGTACGAACCCTTCCCGGTCTGTCCGGCTGCCTCCGTCCCGTCAGGTGACCGCGAGGTCCTCACGGTCCCCGCGCCCCGAGCAGAGTGGGGCCGACCGTGCTGGCGCCGCGTGGACCCGCGGGCGTCGGGGGACGGAGGGCCCCGAGCACCTGAGCACCTGAGCACCTGCGGGGGCCTCGGCCCGGGGCTGCGGCCGCATGTCCGAGCAGAGCGGGGCCGACCTGCGGGCTCCTCCAGCGCTTTCCAGGGTCCCCTCGGAGGCCCAGCGCCCGGGGCGCCCTTCCTCCAGCCTGACAGCGCCCGTAATCAGGACTCTAGGGACTTAAAGATCTGACACAGCCAAGGACTGGATTTTTTGCGAAAAATCTTCCATTTTGAAGCCATTTTGACCGGTGGGGGGTGGCGGTTCTCTTCCGTTTTGTTCGCCAAACCTGACCTGCTCGCTCCGGGAAGCCCCCGCCGTCGTGGGGTGTCCAGGCCCGCGGGCACCTGTCCCGCCAGCGGCAGGTGTGGGGGTCGGGTGTCCCTGCGCCCACGTCAGCCCCGCCCCCCCCCCAGGCCAGGGACCCCACAGAGCCCCAGGTCCCATTCTGAATCAGAGGCTTATTGATTCATTTAATCAAATCAAAACCAGTTGTTTTGTTTTAAAACGTGCAAGCCGGCGTCTCAGCAGGCGTTCGTGTCTCTGGAACGTGTTGTTACCCCACAGGCTCCCCGATACCCAGACCACAGGATCGCTGCCTTCGTGGTAAAGACGGTGTTTCTTGTCGTTTGCAACAGCGGGGGGCGGGGGGGACCGAGGGGATCGGTGCGCGCCGCCCCGTCCAGACCGTCCACCCCGACCCTGAATCATCTAGGGAAGTAGAGTCAGCTGGCTTTCCCACCTCCCAAATCCGTGAAATTAGAGAATCTCGCAAAAGATCCCTTTTATCAACCCCAAACTGTGTGAGTGGAAAGGGCGGGGTGGCCGTGACCGCGCGTGTCCAGTGTTGTGTGTCCTCGTCGCCTGGCGTGTCCCGCGCCCCCTCCCCAGCCACCCGGCCGGTCACGACCCCGGGGCCCCCGCGGAGGACAGGGTCGGACTCCATCCTGACGCTTGGCTCCTCTGGTGCGGCCGTGCACACCTGTCGCCGTTGGCGGGGACGAGCCCCCCGCCCCGAGACCGCGTCGCTTGGCCACGCCGTGGGCTGCTGGTGCTTCGGGAGCCGCCGCCCGTGCCCCGGACGCGACCACGAAGGGTTCAAGGCGGTCTGTGGAGTGTCCCCAGAGCGAGCCCGTGAGCAGCTTGCTTCTCCAGATACTGGGTCGTATGCTTTTATTTTGTTTTATTTTAGAATCTGGACACTTTATATGAATGTAATTCAGCCAACACCCCTGTCGCCGAGCCCCCGGTTCCTCCGTATGTATATTGATGTATATACCACGCGTTACGACCTGCATGAGCCCCCCTCGCACCCAGACCAGCCGGAACCAAGCATGAGACGCTGTCCTACAGACAAAGGATTGGAGATGTTCTCAATAAAAGACACAGTGTTCCACCAGCGAGCGTGCCGGGTCTTCTCTCTGTCCCTGTGCACCCCCCCCCCGCCCCTCCAGCCGCCCCCCCCGGCCTGGCACTGCCCCCCCCCGCACTCGGGCCCTTCCCCTGAGCACCGGGACCCTGGGCGCACGTCCCGCCCACTCCTGGGGAGGACAGCGACGCTCGCCCCCGCTGACCTGCCGACCTGGGGGGACGTGGGTGGGGAGAGCCGGGCACCGGGATGCAGGGGCCGTGCAGCCACCGGGTCACAGGCGGGCCTCATCCTCAAGACCAAGGGGCTGGCGGGATTTGCACTTCGAGGTAAAGAAGCGCGGATGCTCTGCGTACAAGCACGTGCGCAAGTCTGGAGGGGCCGAGTCAGGTCTCGCGTGAACGACTGGGGACTCGGGGTGATTTCAGTTTAGTTTTGCTTTTTTTTTTAAGCTTCCCCATTTGTCTGACGTTTCTACGGTAAAGTGAAAAAGAAACAGGAAAATGTTTGTTAAAGGTCAAAATCCCCATACGAATAAAAAGCACCGTTATTTAACAAATAATTTGCCCACTTTTGCATCAATCTTGATTCTGTTCTTTTCCCACAATAAAAGCAACATTAAAATGAAAATATGTGGGGCGCCCCTGGGGGCTCGGTCGGTGGAGCCGCTGACTCCTGGCTCCGGCACAGGCCGTGGTCTCAGGTTGTGGGATGGAGCCCGGCGTCCGGGGTCTCCGGCTCAACAGGGAGTCGGCTTGGGATTCTCTCCCTCTCCCTCTGCCCCTCCCCCTCCAATAAATAAATAAACCTTAAAAAATAAATTGCAGGGATCCCTGGGTGGCGCAGCGGTTTAGCGCCTGCCTTTGGCCCAGGGCGTGATCCTGGACACCCGGGATCGAATCCCACGTCGGGCTCCCGGTGCATGGAGCCTGCTTCTCCCTCTGCCTGTGTCTCTGCCTCTCTCTCTCTCTGTGACTATCATAAATAAATAAAAATTAAAAAAAAAATAAATAAATTGCAATGAAAATATGTAACATAAAAAGACAGACTAAGCGGAGAGGGACCGGGACAGCATGCCCTCTGCAAGTTCGCCCTCGGAAAGCTTTTCCCCGAGGATGCGCCTGTTGGATGAGCCTCGAGGTGCTCGCTTGACCGTGTCCCTGGGCGCCCGCGGGGCGGGGGGGGGCAGATCCTCAGCGGGACAAGCACCGCCCCACCCGAGGGGCCTCCCTTGGGGAAAGACAATAAAAATACGCCAGATGCACCAGGGGCTGGGGAGGGGGGGGGCCGTGAGCCTGGCCCAGGACGCACAATGACTTAGTGACCTTTGATATTAGCTACATACTTATATTTTTAAATAATTAAAATGAATAAGTTACTTAATCAGGGCGGAGGGAACGACCCCAGTGAGCCGGCCGAGGCGCCAAAAGCCGAAGGTGCGGGAGTCGGGGAGCCCGGCTGGAGCCGCGGGAGCACTCGCAGTCCTGCTGCTAAAGACGCAGGTGACTCGGGCTCGGCCCGGCCATTTGCTAGTTGCGCCCCGGCTTCGGCTGCGCTCTGTGGGCGCCCCCCCCCACGCCACGGGCACTGCGGGTGCCGCACTCGGAACACGGTGGGGGCCCACCGAGGCCGCACACCTACAGCGCCCCCGGCCACCCTGGGGAGACAAGTCCTCACCGCCTGCGGCCCCGGGGTGGGCAGGGGACCCAGCATCAGCAGATGCCCGCAGGGCCGTCGGCTCCGTGGGGTGCCCCGTGGGGGCCTGCACCATCACACCCGCCACATTCACATCACACCTCGGCACACGCACGTGCCACAGGCGGGGTCAGCTGTCCCAAGGGCCGGGGGTCATTTGGGGCGGGTCAGGGCGCGGGCCGGGCTGCCCCCCCACGCACCCGACATCACCCCACAG